AATTCTATTTCCCTTCATTCATACAAGCCAAATGGTTCCCAAGGGAGCGATACTGAAAATTAGTTGATTTTCATATGCCACATCATCCTGTAAGTAAAGCTACAATTGACCCTGGGAACTGACGTAGGGAAAAAAAGTGCCCTCAAAATTCCCAATCTATCATACAATTGAGCTAGAGATGATTTATTAACTCTTATGCCCTTGTGTCTTTAGTGGCTTTCCCTCATATATTATGTTTTAACTTTCATTTTCCTTGTTTTTTTTGTATACTTGCATACATGTGTTAGCTTCCCCTTGGTGCTTGCGAGTAAACTTTTGCATACCGAAAAAAAAAGGTGATAAACCACGCAACTGATGCATATCAAAGAGGTGGCCCTGTGGTTGATGTTTGTGGACTATATTATTAAGTCTGAAAGACAAATTGTAAGATTATAAAGAGCTTCTTCACAACTAGTGTTCTGTATGAGTTTGGACATGATAGATTTTATTATATAAATTTAGTCATATTAGGAGTTGAACAAGCAAATTGGGGTGATGGAATGGAGGAATGTGTTTCTGCGCGTCTTTATCTTCAGCAGATTCAATAAGGAGAGAAAGGGTCAAAGCCCAAGGTGTAAGGCTTATACGTGGTGATTTTCTGTAAATGAAGAGAATGGATTGTATGTGATGTATCATGAGATCCTCGAAGCCTACGAAGTTGGAAAATGATTCTTTTAGAAGAGATTAGTGATGAAACATTTGACTGTATCCAATACATCATTCACGAAAAGACAATTTATGTAATATATTTAAAATGATTGATGATTAGATAAGCAGAAAGGACAAAATCAATACAACTAGATTATGTTTTTATCATCTGTATCTTGTTTATATGATTACTTTTTAGGAGCTTTTGATATCTTTGACATTGCAAAGCAGAAAAACAAAATACAAATTGATGTTTGTTTTAGATTAAGATTTTCATAATCATGCTTTTGCAAGAATCTGCAACTGATCATGACAGTTTGAATTAAATGCAATGACTCTGTGGTTTATTATTTTAATTTGAAGATAAGATAGTATTAAAACTGTAATATTTTGTTTTTTGTTATCAATGTAGTATGTCTTATCTTATGCATTTTCACTACTATCCACTTTATACTCTATTAGATTTTATTGTATTTGATGCCTGTTGGAAACTCGAATTGTCTCGTCCTGACTCATAAAGTTTTACTTCCCATGTTGTATGCAGGTGTTTCCTTGAAGACTCAAGAACTCTATGCTCTTGTTTTTGCAACCCGCTATTTGGATATCTTTTTCAACTTCATCTCGTTTTATAATACCATAATGAAGTTAATATTTTTGGGTAGCTCTTTCTCAATTGTTTGGTACATACGGCGCCACAGGATTGTTCGGAGATCATATGATAAGGACCAAGACACATTTCGCCATTTATTTCTCCTGCTCCCCTGCCTGCTTTTGGCTCTGGTTATAAATGAGAGGTTCACTTTTAAAGAGGTATCTGTTTAATTCCATTTTGTTATTTTTGGATAATTTGATGATATCCTTGTATCTTCAACTTTTTGTGGCTTTTATGTTTTTCATGTCTTACTAGAACCATATGAACACAATTTTACGGTAAATCATCCTTTGGAAATATGACAGAGCATATACTGTGCTTTTCACATTGCTCACATTCTTGTGTGATTTTACAAAATTGATTGAGCAGGTGCTGTGGACATTTTCTTTATATTTGGAAGCAGTCGCCATACTTCCTCAGCTGGTGCTGTTGCAAAGGACAAGAAATATTGACAACTTAACAGGGCAATATGTTTTCCTCCTTGGGTAATAAACTAACTTAACCTTGCATTTGGTAGTTCATAACATATACTGTTGTTTCCATATGCTTAGAATCAATAAATATGTAATTAGATACATTATACATTTCAATTCTATCACAACACTTTGTTGTGTTCTCGTGCTTATCATGGTTTCCTGCACTAAAATATTTTATGTGTATGTCTGTTTGAGATGAATCAAGGATATAATAGCACATAAAATCAAAGAAACTGAAGAGTAAATTTATGAAATTGTTGGTGAACTTGATGTTTGATCACATTACTTTGCCTCTAAATAATTTGTTCTTTAATCTTATATGAAAAAAGTATGATGTCAACAGTGGGACTAGCATTAAGGCATTAACAAAATTCTCAACAAACAAGGTTCATTTTGACCCTTGAACTTTTATAATCTGAAATAGATGATCTTGAACACAGTTATAATCTTGCACAGAATTAAGTTTTATAGTACTTGTCATTATCAATACTGTAAGAGCCTACAGAAGGACGATTTTCAAAATATGCAGACCAAAATTTAGTTTGGTAAAATTGCCGTAAGCCAAGTTTGAATGAAGATGAAAAAAGTTATATTTCCGGGGGTTTTTTTTTTCCGAAATATAAAACCAATCTGCACAACAAATTGGAGTCTCATTAGTTGAGCATTCTTCTTCTCCATCAGTGCCAACACTTTGAACCTTTTCACCTTGAAGTCAGAAGACTCAACCACATAGGCTGGAAAGTGGGCTGATGAGCAACCAAGCAGTTAAATAATAAGAAACTGTCGATTATGGACATTTGAGTGCCATGAATGATCACCGTTTGCCATGGGAATCTTAAAGTGAATCGTGTATCATGTTCAATCTAAAAGAGCATTGGGGCTAGTTTACATGGTCTTGCTTGCGGTGCAGGAGTTAGTTCATGCTAGTGATTTTTGTCTAGATCATACTTGTATTATGATATGCTTTGAAAGTATTGAAGTTCTTATTCTTGATGGGTATGTCAGAAAGAATGGAAAAAGATAATCTAGCCTTAAAGACATGTCATGAGTTTTCTGATGTACGCTAGTGCCTCTGTAGTCTGTACAAATTTGCTACTCTTCTGGAGTATCTGCAATTCTGCTAATCTTCTGAACAAGTCAGGTTGTGATCTCGTTTAGTTAGAGCAAAAGAAGTATAGCCTTTTTCAGGTGGATGATTAAGATCTTTACCATGGGTTGAGCATTGAATTTAATGCACTCTGCAAAAAGATAAATTTTATAGGTACTTGGATAGGTAGCATGACAGTCCTAGATCTCTTGTATTGCACATCCAAAAGTAGATGCAAGTGCAAAGGTGCTAGTGCACCCACACATTTATGAGTTACTTATTTCTTCGCCAAAATTCCCAATCTATCATACAATTGAGCTAGAGATGATTTATTAACTCTTATGCCCTTGTGTCTTTAGTGGCTTTCCCTCATATATTATGTTTTAACTTTCATTTTCCTTGTTTTTTTTGTATACTTGCATACATGTGTTAGCTTCCCCTTGGTGCTTGCGAGTAAACTTTTGCATACCGAAAAAAAAAGGTGATAAACCACGCAACTGATGCATATCAAAGAGGTGGCCCTGTGGTTGATGTTTGTGAGTATTTGTGATTATGATCAGAGTTTTGCTATTTTTCTTCTGTGAAGTCTATGAATTCATTTTCATTCATGTCTAAAGCCTATATGCAGGTTGAAACTTCTGGCAGAAGTTTGTCTTAAAAATTCCCAATCTATCATACAATTGAGCTAGAGATGATTTATTAACTCTTATGCCCTTGTGTCTTTAGTGGCTTTCCCTCACATATTATGTTTTAACTTTCATTTTCCTCGTTTTTTTTGTATACTTGCATACATGTGTTAGCTTCCCCTTGGTGCTTGCGAGTAAACTTTTGCATACCGAAAAAAAAAGGTGATAAACTACGCAACTGATGCATATCAAAGAGGTGGCCCTGTGGTTGATGTTTGCGAGTATTTGTGATTATGATCAGAGTTTTGCTATTTTTCTTCTGTGAAGTCTATGAATTCATTTTCATTCATGTCTAAAGCCTTGATATCTTAATTGATTCTCTTGTTGCAGTGCATATCGAGCATTATACATTTTGAACTGGATCTACCGCTACTTTACTGAGGAACACTATGTCCATTGGATCAGTATGACTCTCTCTCTCTCTCTCTCTCTCTCTCTCCCCTGTGCATGTCATTCATGTGTTCACTATATAGTGTGGCCATGTCTGCATGTGAGTGCTCTGCATTCAAGCCTTAGGTCGATCAACACGTGTGATCATGTTTTCTGTCATACATTTTCATTTCAACTAAATACCACCAGTTGTTTTTATCTTCTTTTTGGTCTGGGTTGCTGAATGTGCATATCTCAATCATGTCATTGTTCTGCTCCTGCAGCTTGGATAGCAGGGACTATCCAGACTTTGCTCTATGGTGATTTCTTCTACTATTACTTCCAGAGGTAGATGCTTGATACATTTTGTTCATATCACTAGCATGTGTTGATAATTGTATAAAATGGTGACTTCATTTTTCATTTTGATATTTTGCAGCTGGAAGAACAATGTAAGGCTCGAGCTGCCAGCTTGAAAATGTCGTTTACTTGTCCACTGCCTGCTAAATGTTGCAATAGGATACTTGAATCTGTGGTAGTTTGTAGATGTTTCTCATTTCTTTTTAACCTTTCTTTTATAATTTTTTTCCCCTTGAATCCGTGGTAGTATTTGTTCGGCCACGGGAAACATCTGACTGTCTTATTAAGCGGGGATTGGACTCATAAAACCATGTTACTGTCAGTTTGTAGCACATCACATACTATCTCTCCATCAAACAGTTTGTACGGAAAGTATTTCCAAAATGAAAATGTTGTATTCCAATTCTTTATCATGTCAAAGTCTGATTTGTTATATGTCCATACATACGTTGATGTGTGTTTATAAAGTTAAGCGTCCGTGAAATGTGTTCAGGAAAACCTAATACAAATGGTATACAAATAGAATTATCCAACAATTTTTGTTTATTTAAAACAAACGATATTGGAGGGAGGAGAAGTTGAAAATGGTGCGGAGGACAACGTGAGCTACAGTTTCTTTCTGCTTTATTTAACATTTTGTTATATGTGAAATACCAACCCAAAAAAAAAAGAAAAAAAAAAAAAGGGAAACTGATTTTACACGGTTTCTTTTCTATCTCTTGCTGAGGTATGTGATTTTGTTTCCCGAAAGGACTAGGACAAGAAATAAAAGTAGCGAGTTACCCAACTCGCAAGTGATATCACAATCCACATAGAATTAGGAAAAGAAAAACAGAAACCTATAAGTACCAACTAAAACTGTCACAAACCCTTGCTCTCTCTAAATAATCATCACACACAACTCACCCTTCTCTCTCGATCGCCTCTCTCTCTCTCTCTCTCTCTCTCTGCAATAGAATGAAAATCAAGTTCAAGCAAAGCCCAAGAGGAAAGGAACTTCCACAAAGTGCAAAGTGCAAAATGCCTGAGAAAAGTTTCAAGGATCCTGAGGAGGACATAAATTTAACAGAGACTAGCATATCTGAAACGGCATTCCTTCTGTGCAAAAGAGTTAAGGAAAACTTTGGTGATGATGCGGACAAGTTTTCAGAATTCTTGGCGCAACTGCACATGTTTAGCCAACAGAGGGTCGATTTGACCGAGTTTTTAAACTTGGTGGACGACTTCGTTCGAGCTGACGAACGTCTTATGAACGATCTTGAGGATTTCTTGGAGAACTGCGGAAGGGCACAGAGCCATTGGTCACGCAAGCGTAAACGTTTGAATTGAAGTTGGACCATTTTTGGAAAAAGTTTTGTTTTAGTTTTAGTTTTTCCACTTGTGTATAATGTTTTAAAGAATTGATAGTAACGAGTTATATAAGAACTTCATTCTCCGTGAGATTATAACTGTGTTCAAGATCATCTTTTTGAGATTATAAAAGTTCAAGTTCATATATGATTAGAGAACAAGTTATTTAGAGGCAAACTAATGAGATCATGCATTAGGTTCACCAACAATTTAATTCAATTTACTCTTCCTTTTATTTGATTTTAATAAAAATTAAAAGTAAAAGAGAGAGGCCCATTTTACAAGTTGGGTTAAACAAGCTTATAATAATATTGGACGCTCACATTCATCAATCTCTTGGCCTATTTGTATACGGCAACCACAAGTTCATATTTTGAGACTTATCCTCTATATGGACCCAACATTTGATTTTCTTTGTCCAACTTCCAACATTTGATTTCCTCTTCCTTTCCATTCTCCCGAATGAAGTAAAATTCAAGTCTTTGTGGGCAACTGGGATTAAAATCTTTGTGGGTTTTTGAGAAGTTTCTCTAATCTCTCTCTATCTCTCACTCACTGTTCAAAGCTTGGCTGCTGGTGAGTACTATTTACTTTTTCTTTCTCTTTCTCTTTCTCTTTCTCTTCTGGTTTATTTAGTATTTTTTTTTCTTCATTCAGTAGCAGAAGCTCTTGATGTGATTTGAGGGACTTTGGGACCGATCAAGGTTGTTCTAGCCCAGGCTTTTGGCATTTCTTACTAATATTACTGGTTTATGTTGGCAAAGTTCTGATATCTTGTCCGATTTCTTAAGAGTGTATTTCGCGTTTTGGGTGTAGGATTTGGCTTTTATTTGAGATACAGGTTAACTTTATTGGGTTTTGTTCAATATTGTTAATTTTTTGTTGGTTTCTGCTGAATTCGTGAGTTTTGGTAACAAAATTATTTTCAAGTTTTCTCTCTCTCCTTCCGGGGCTTGAATAGGTGTTTCGTTCGAAGGGGAGAGAATAGAGAGACGCGAATACCCCTAAAAATGGTCACGTGGGCGGCACATGACTAATTTCAACAAAAAATTGATGGAATTGATCATTGATGGACCGCATTAACACACAAGACATATTCTGGGCAATTTGAAGGAAAAGTTTAAAACTTGTTAATGTTTGATGAACATTAGGCTATTCTACTTCGCCATCTTGGACTCAATTAAGGGTGATGAAAATCACCCAACACAACCTTGTATATCTCAAGTGTCTTCTTGGTTATATGGCACACTTGACTTGGATAGCAAGTGTTTTCTTGATATCTGGGCAACCATCAGTAATGTTCTTCAAGAAAAGGTTGCGGTTAATCGGGACGGAGCAGCTGGATTTTCCCAAGCAATGTTGCTCAACAACCTCCTTAGATACAGGGGAGTTGCATTTGCCCAGGACGTAGCTTCCACAGTAGCCAGCTGGTGGATCACCGAAGCTTGCAAACTCAACAGCAACAACCTTCTTGTTGTTGGGACACTTGATGTCGGCGGATGATCTGATAACATCTAAAACAGGTCGGAAAACGCTGTCCTGCCTTGCCCATGACTTGACATTCGGAGGATGGTACTCGGTAATGAAGCTGCAGATAGTATCTCTGTTGACGGTTAGGATCTCAATGTGTTTGGGCTTCGCTGGCTGCTCCTCCAACACAACAAGAAGATTTTGTGTAGGCTTGATGAAAGATCTTGGAACGTGGTACTCGGATTGAGTTGGTTCTCCAAGAGGAGAGAGGAAGGACATCCAGTGCCGGCCGATGCTTTTACCATTAACCCAGATCATTCCCTTTCCCATACCAGTCATTCGAATAGCGACAGGGTTATTACCTTCTGGAGCATCAACGTAAGTCTTGTACCATGTGAGACCCTGTGCTGCTCCCTTTGTTTTATGCCATTGAACTTGTTTTGATCCCTCCTCAGTGAACACTTGAAGCTTTTCTCCATTCAGACCAACCTGATGCCCCCATCCATTCTTTGTAATGTCCAGTGTTCCAGTGTTCAATCCAAGGACCATTATGAGATTAGGCCCTGCATATCTGTGCTCCATATAGGCTCCACCATCCGGGAGTCCCAGTGTCATGGCAAGTAGCGTTATCTGGTTGACACCTGCCTTGAAGTGAACAGGTTTCTCTAAGACGAAGCTCTTCTCATCGTGGCTTCCATGTCCGAAACCAATATACTCCCCGTTGACAAACAGGTGCAATGCATGACCAAGACTGGCAATTCGAAGAACTGGTTGAATGCTTGCCTTCTTGGGCAAGTCTTGTGGATTCAGTGCAAGGCTAGTGGTGTACCATGCGTAGTCTGAGGTATCTTTTAGCAAGGTGTACAGCTCCAGCGGTGTTGGATTATTTACCGGCACTTGAAGGGTGCTTGGAATGGGTTCTGCATACTTCATCCATTTGAGATTATTGGCAACGGTTGATCGAACGAAGTTCCTAGAATTATGTTGGGCAACAATCGTTTGAGTGTTGAAGACCACGGTCTTACAATCAGGGAGGATGCTAATGGAATGCGGTGGCAGGTAATAATCCTGACCTCTCCAACTAACAGTTGCTTCCGTTGTGAGGTTATTGTTGGTCAAGAAAGCAGCACAGATGTTTGTGGCGGGCATCTCATAGAAATAAACCTCTGTGTCTGCGCTCATCTTTTGGACTCCAGGAACTCCCCAAAGCAAAGCCTTCCTGGATAGCCTCAAAGCCTTGTGCAAGTCCTTGAGGTGACTCCATTTGGGGTCCCTAGGCAAACCATATTCATCGAGAGGAGCTTCGTCGTAGTAGCGAGTTGTTGTGAAAATAGCACTTGTTCTTCCAAAATTTGTTCCACCATGGTACATATAGTAGTTGGTTAGAGATCCTTTCTTCGAGAAAAAGCGCGCAACTGCAAATGCAATGTCATCTACTGGTCTTTGTGAAGGAGGGTCCCCAAATACTCTGTATTGAGCAGTCCAGTTCTCAGTCCACAGAGTTGGCTTGTAGGGTTTATTCGGGCCCATGAAAGTATCTCCACATTGCCTTCCATTGCAAGTATTAATGACCGGATCAGGAGCGTCCCTCTGCTTGCACATGACCCATGGTACTCCGATGTTCTGCTGCACTGCCATGGCTGCTGCCCACCTCATATAACTGCTTCCCAACTCTCTATAGGCAAGCTGGACCATATTGTACTCATTTTCAATTTGAGCCAAGACGATGGGGCCTCCTTGTGGAGAAAATAGCTGCGCCTCCTTCAACTTGTTTACGATCAGCTGCACATAATTCTCCATGTGGTACTTGAATGCTTTGTTATCCGAGCGGAATATGATGTCGGGGACCTCCCTTAGCCAATAAGGGAGTCCTCCGTGGTTCCATTCGGCTTGGATGAATGGCCCAAGCCTAATGGTAGCATACATTCCGTGCTCCTGAACCAGCTTAATGAACCTCACCAAATCGTAGTTTCCCTCAAAATTGTACTGCCCTTGCACAGGCTCATGAATGTTCCAGAACACATAAGTTTCAATCATGTTCAAGCCTCCATGTTTCGCCTTCTTGATAAGACAAGGCCACATTTCTGGCGTGCTTCGAGTGTAATGGATTGCACCTGAAAACAGAAGCTCTCGTTTTCCATTGATAATCAGTGACCTCCCATCATATGTCACGGGGCCGCCCTGCACTGATTGATTCCGATTCTGATGATGAAGATGCTTCCCTCCGTGGCCATGATGTCCATGTCCTTTGGCGTGGACGATTGCGGCAGAGATAACTATGGAAATGAGGGAAATCAAGAGCACCCGGCTGATTGATACTGACATTGTATGTATGTTAAGTCTTTTGATTTGGCCAATAAACTTGTTCCTCCTTAGATGGAGGCCTTGGCCAGAAGCAGCTTGCAATGAAACTCCATGAAACAAAATGATATATAAGGGAGATAGATGGATGGTAGTTATAAGCTGGCCTGTTCAATTTTGACTCTTTTTGGTTATAATCTCCGTTGTGTTCTTACAATTGCTTTTAGCTGTTTGCTTTGGCGTTTACACACTCGTTGCTGGAATAAAAAATTGTAACTACTTAACAAGA